ATATAGAGAATATATATATATACCAATACAAGCTGTAAAATCACTGCTCATATTTCATATTAGGAACAGTAAGGCATGCAAGGTGCTGCACAACTACATATAAAGTTAATATATAATCAGTCTTTGGACTCTTAATATAATGAGGAGTACTCAAATTAAAAGCAGAGAATAGATCATAAGAGATTTAAAGAGACAACATATTGCTGTCATGCATTTAAGAGGGCAGTACATGCACTAAGCCATAGTAGTCAGTATATAATGTACCTTATAATTGAAGTGCTGCTCAGTGTAACAAAGACTAGTTGTTACAAGAATCTGGTATAATGGGCCGTGCAGATAGAGAAAGAGCTAGGCTAGTGACGTTTCTAACACACCTAGATTGTAACTCCATTGTAAACATTTTAGGGGGTTTCCGATTAAGTAATTATTGTGCTGTAGCCCCAGCTGATGCAATCTTGAAGATGTAGCTTAAAAGCACTAAAGCCTGACTTGCAGGAATGGACTAGATTTGTCATAGGCCAAAATATAGTGGCTTCAGATATCAGGCAGATAGCAAGATAATATTCAGAGCGGATCATCGACATAACACAATGCTTTCATGTGTCTGAGAGAGAGTGGGGCATCAACGTAACTGAAGACAACTGAATAAAGGAATGTGCTTATTGAGAGTTAATGTTTTGAGATCCACGAATTCTGATTTAGTGTTAAACTAAAATTTGAGCGATAGCCTTTACAATTAAGTATAGTATACAAACTGTTGATTCAGGTGTCTTTCTTCACATATCTCTCCAAAAAGATGTTGCAATTTTTATTTCGCAATTTTGTTTCCACTGAGTATTCAATGATGGCAAGAGAGAGAGAGGAGAGAGAGATGAGAGAGAGAGAGAGAGAGAGAGAGAGAGAGAAAAAAAAACATTATCTGGTTTAAGTTTAGCCAATTTGGCATTTTTTGTCTATTTTTAATAAAAGCCAAACAAAAGTGTTTGTTACAAAAATGTTCCAGATTCAACCGGATTTTGAAAGAATCCAGACCATTTTCTGAGCTCATATTGTCTCCTGCTGTGGAAGTTTCAAACTACATAAAATCTTTGATTCTCCTTTCTTTTGTGGTCTTATGAATCAATGGTATCAATAGTGACATTCACGCATGAAAAAAATACACAGGTAAATGTCATTGAGTGTTCTTTACAATTGAAAGCTGTGCCCCTAATCTAATGTTCTCTAATAAGTGATGATTTGAAGGGATGAAAATGACAGACTGTACACAGACTCAATCCATACATTCCTATAATGCAAAGATGTGCTCCAGTGGCGAGAACCGACCTGTGATACATATTGGAGTTGTCTCTGAAAGGCAAATCAATATCTCTTGCAAACTGCATGGTAAGCAAATCGAAGTTCTTTAGCAACAGATAATGAATACAAAATGTCAGCAGACATAAAAAAACGAGTCTTTCATGGTGAAAATAAAAATCCCTTGGGTTCTTGATTTCTAATTATAATACCATCAACAATATTTTCTTTCTAAAACAAAGAACAATGTCTGCACAAAAAATGGCTCAAAATTAAAAATCCACCTTTTCTGCATCTCAAGAGTGTTTTTGTCTAACCTAATTCATCATTCTGTTGCAACAACAGCCTTTCCCATTACTGTCAAGCATAACGTCCCTCTGCGCCAATAGATTTGCCTCTTCACAACCGAACAAGACACTAACTTTTTAACACATGTCATAAAGCTTCGAGACATCTCATTCAGTACATAGGGGCCTGTGTTGATCTGAGACTTCAGACATGCCATCGGAGAGAACAAGCGGTACGTCATCTGATGGGTTTCTCACATGACAGGCTTGTCACAAAACAGCCAAAAGCTTAGAAGTGCAGTTCACTTGACACACAGTCTTCAGGGATGTCTCTTGAAAAAAAAGCAGCCCCATAAAAAAGAAATCTGTTGGTGTGGGTGGGAGGATGGGATTGGGGTACATAACAAATAAAGCATTGGCCTACAAAAGATCCAAAGGGAACCCTCGATGTTCCTCCTTGGTATCCATTTAGCAGGAGGGCTTACAGCATCCAGCTACTTACAGCCTAACCCAAGTGCTAAATTACTCACCGCGCTCAGCTGGAAACACTATAGAAAATGTGTTTGCCTAGGATCTGGTCCCCTTTATCAATCCCAAACAGCAGGGACCAGAGCTTTAAGCACTATGCCAGGGTTCCAGCAACAGCAAATAACATTTCAGACAGAAAGAAAGAAGGAATGGTTGCACAAATAAGATTTCAGTTTTGTCTCTGTAAATCCTTTAAAGCTAAATCTAACACAGTACTGTACATCCTACTGATTTCCTACTGAAACTATTCAAAGACACTGCCTCGGAAAAGTAAGACTTAAAAGTACAATTGTTCAAACAGGCAGACAGACAGAAGGACACACACACACACACACACACACACACACACACACACACACACACACACACACACACACACACACACACACACACACACATACGTCTTTGAAAAATTACAAAGAGAAACAGGTGCGGGGCCACTGGATTTGAATCAGAATCTTTCATTACTTACCGATGAAGAGGTTCCATTCAGCATCTAGGTCTGCCTGGTTAGCTAGACAGCCCCTCATCACGTTGTGGCAGTAGTTGTGACAGGGTTTCAGCCCAGGCATGCCACGGCAGTATGGACAGTAAAGCATCTTGGTCAAGGCTCTGACACAAGCTGGCAATACATTCACCTATGGAACAAAGAGACATTATCAGAAACAGGTTTATTACCAGGTAGGTTAATACGAGGAATTTGACTTGGTGTTTTGTAAGTCTTACAAGCTCATTAAACCTCAGTAATTGTTTCATAACCTGCTGTTTGATTCGTTTAAGGAAGAGAGCAGGTGTGATAAAACAAGAATATTGCACATACGTTTCTATTATTCTACAAAACCTCATGAAGTTTCCAAGGAAACGTATCATCAATAGTAAGGATTGCAATTCCCAATAGGAAGGTTCATTGGGGGGTGAAAGTCAGACTTATTTCAACTTGACAAACATCCCTACACTACATCATGTCTTCTGAAGCTTGAGATGTGAAAACCCACCAGATAAAACTGTTTGACAAGACTATGTTTACAACTCTGTCCATTTTGATTCCATGTGAAGGCTGTGCCTTTTGTTGTTGGGACATGTCATTGTACCGGCTTGAGTGAAAGCGACAGGATTCTCACATCTGCTTCCCTTCAGAGGTGGGGATGCAGAACGAAGAGTACATCTGATAATTGGCCTGTCAGCCTCTGTATTCATGCTTGACTTTAAATATTGTCCAACACACACTCTGGAGACTGCTAGTGTGTGTTGGTGTGTGCATTGGCAGATTGGTCCGTGGTTGTCATAAAAAAGACCACACAACCGGAAACTATCTTTATACTACAAGAGCTTGGCTGAGGCAGCTGAAGCAATCTACCCATCTCAAAAAACGATTTGAAGAGAAGAGTTAAAAACATGAATTATAAGTATAATTGTACGGTAAGGCCATGTTCATTCATCAGAGCAAAACAGAAAGAAAATGCTTTTTCCAGAAGTCCGATCAAGTCACGTTTAATTTATTTTATGGCCAAAGATCTAACATTTGCAGCCACAAACACAAAGAACACAACAAAAGAAGAAACCTCAGGAAGAAAAAAACAAAGGCATCGATTAAAATATTTTTCATTATGAGAAGAATACTTTAATTAATACATTTTTGTTTTACCATTTTCTTTGTTATAAGTAATATGTTAATTTGACCTCTCTTAACATTAATACAATTAGAACAAGAAAAAAAGAACAGTCAGAGACAGATCGAACAAACCCCGGTTATATAAATACAGCTGAAGATAAAAGTAAACAATAAAACATTAGTGTAACCTTGTAGCTCTATGGCAGCATCTTTTACAGTACTGGAACAATTGCAAGACCACATGTTTGAGCAATGTGATGTGTGTGTGTGTGAGGGAGAGAACAGGAACATTATGAGAGAAAATAAGGGAGAGGAAGAGACAGAGATGGGGATCTAAGCTATTAGTGTACTTCCACTGCTGATGGCAGCCGGCAACAAGGGAAAAAGGAAGCATCTTTGACATTTGCAATCTGCCGCTGACAACACTTGATGTCTTTTAAGAAGGCCATTAAACTAGGTTGCTAGCTGTCAATTACACAGCTGCATGTCATACGCTGGTATGTGTTAGCAGGATCGGGGTTAACATATGGACATTTGTCACAAACATGGTTCATTTGGTTGAACATCATATACAGCTGACATGCCTAACCGTTCATATGGTTGGGTTCTGTGTGTGTGTGTGTGTGTGTGTGTGTGTGTGTGTGTGTGTGTGTGTGTGTGTGTGTGTGTGTGTGTGTGTGTGTGTGTGTGTGTGCGTGTGTGTGTGCGTGCGTGCGTGCGTGCGTGTGTGTG